GGATGAAACTTATTAATAATTATTAGTATTATATAATAAAAATAAAATAAACTAATATAAATATATTAATAAAAAAACTTATAGATATCTTGTGATGTGAGACATACTCATAGGTTACCCTTATAGTCTGGTGAGAATTTTTATGTGCACCTTGTAACAAAAATATTATCTTTGATAATATTATTGTATTAAAATTTAAAAATATACACATATAGAAATCGAACAGTACACTTTTTAGGTACATGTGAAATTATCGTTTGATAAATCATGTTGAACCATTATGACGGCACGCGGCACAGCGTTGTTATAAATACTTAATAATTAAAATATTATCAAAACCATAGTTTTATGTAGTTATTTATTTCACGTCAATTGTACTCGAAAATACGGGAACTAGCGTATGCAATATATGTTGCATTTCAGTCTATATTGAGGTTCTCTGTCATCGATCACGGGGCTGCTATGAATTTTATACGAGTGAAAAATGAAAAAAACATATTACGCTCAAATTATAATTAATTTGTCATAACGACGTTTTATATTATACCTTTTATTAATATAATAATATTGCCAACGTATACTTTGTTTAAGCAGTCTGACAATATTAATTTATGATATTGGACATTTTTGTAATTTTTAAAAGTGATTTATTTATTACTTAAGTACTCTATTTGAGTATATCTTCATCCGAGTATCAGACCAGAAACCAAATAAAAGGTTGGTTCTAGACTTCATAACTGCGTGCAATTTACAATACCTATATGCACAATATTACGATTTTCGCGATMAAATATATGAAAATATAAATAAAATGAGTTACTAAGGAATGATAAAAACTGCAATATTTTAAATAAAGTCAATATAAAATGTACAGTTGTGTATACCATAATATTATTTTAATTTTACACCTAGTTAAATTATATATATATTTTTTTATAATATCGAAGTAGTCAAAACTAACTATTAGTGATTAAATTGAACAAATTGTGAATTTAAATATTTTCGACATACCTCACAAGTGTGGAAATTATATAATTAGGCGTATTTTATACACACGATGACAATTTAAAATGCAGTGATTTCGTCAAAAATGCGTTCAACTTACCTAAAAAATTATATAACTTTGATAGCAATATATTATTACGTACATCATAAAAATATACATGTGATATAGGCTGTGTTCAACCAGAACATTTTTTCTTATATTATGCAATGCTTTATCATCGAATATTTATTTGACACATACATTACCTACAAAAGTGACTTACTCCTTAATTACGTGGAGGTACACTCGACAACTGTATACCAGAACAATTATCTACATTAACTCTTTTTTTTTAGGTTGTTCATTTAGGATTATTGGTAGCTGCTGCCTACAGCCTATAGGCCAGTAAAATATTTCTAATGTAAGATTTGTATCTGTGCATGATACTATGTGTCAGCGGCGTATTTAAGAATTGTTATAGGSAGGGGATGAGCCATTGAATGCCACACATAAAAGGTTAGCCTTTCCCCTTCAGGTTTTCAAAACTTAATCACTAAATACTCTTAATACTCGAATGCCCAATAATTTTCCACATGAAAATTTTGTTGTGGCTTAAAAAAAGAATCTAGTGTATTTTGTTTCATTTCAAAAGTTCAAATAAAAATAACAGTAAGTTTAACACCGATAATCGAAATTACATATTACATAACAATTACAATCCGCTCACGTTTAGCCTATGAATACGAATGTTGTTTTTCCAAWCAAATAAGAATGCCGATAGCCTGATTACGTGGAATATATTATTAGAACATCTGACCATTCCATATTAGTATAATAAATTAATTTTGGTATTTTAGGCTAAAAATATTTTTTTTTTATATTACAAATTTACAACTGTACAGTAATAAGTAATAATTAATGCCTTATGAGTAATACACCTGCTTGGGCATTTAGTGCGCCCGCATACAGCACAATAGAATAGGAATCCGACAGAAATCGCACGAACTCGCCGCACTACCTACGACATGGCTGTTTCAGTGGCGTAATAACAGGCTATCAATAACATTTTCACCAATTTTTTTTCTACTCATTTAAAAAAATGAAAAATACACTAAGATAATAAATACTAAACACGATTTAGTGTCTAGGTATATATAGGTAAATTCTTTAATAATAGAAAAAATGACCAAGGGGGGATTGATCCCCCAAATCACTCCCCCCCCCGTAATAAATTATACGTTATATCATATTATGTTTTGACATTTTTTCATGAGTAATTCACTACAGTCAACGTCGGCATTGATATGTCATGTGCATGCAGGTCGGTAAGTTAATTCCTTAGGTACGCATACGACTTATACCGTGATATATAATGGGACAATAATGATAAGTCAGGAATGAATTGGAAAAACATTTCGGCACGGGAAAGTCGTTTATAATTTATAGATCAGCGAATGATTGCCTGTTAAGGCCCCTGCAAACCCTATTAATTTTTCATCAAAACGATCTCAGCTACTGACAAAAGTTAAAGTACTTCTAATGGTTCGATTTAAAAAATGTAAAAATGTTTGAATTTGTCAACAAGTCTACTTTGCATTGGTCGGAGCATTTTTTTATATTTTAGATATTTTCTAATATATTCGATATCAAAATTGACACATTTTTTWAAATGTAAAATATTTATTCTCGTCAGGCATTTGCTAAAATTGAAATAGTGCTCAAAACGATGCAAAGTAAACTTGTTTCCATGATTACTTAATTTATTATTTTATAACATAGATAATGTCAGAATGATTTTTACACTATTAGTTGTACTTTAATGGATATGTTGAATTTGAATAAAATAATTAAATGATATATTCGTATTCAATGATTGAATAAATCATAATTATTATTTCTAAGTTCAAGGACAATTGTAATAATAAAATGAAGGCTATGTTATTTTGTAATCTGGACATCTAAAGAGGTAAATAATATGATTAAACATTTTTTGTATATATAGCATACGATTTACATTTTTCAATTTGTTACTATTTTAATTCATATATTAGGATTTCTGTAGATAAAATTTTTCATGATGATAAATTCTGGGATAGCAAAATTGAAACACCATTATCGGAATTCCACTTAAATCATTTATTGCCAGAAATAATTGATACAAAATTGTCTCCTGACAAGTAATATGTTTTGTTTTATGTAATATTATTTTCAAATAAAATTAAATAATTTAACTACCTACCTTATCCGCCTATGTTTTTTCGTTAGTATTATTAATTTTATAATGCACTATAGTTAAGTACCATTATTACTAAATATAGGTAATATAAATTGTGTAAAGTATTATTTTATGCATGATATAATATAATATACGCATCTCAAATTTATTGTACATTATTTATTTTCATAACATTTATGTACTGTTATTATGTCCGATCCGTGAGGCCAAGAAATAACAATGGATTGTAAATTGATGTGAGTTRCGGATGATGGTAGGGGAGTAAACACACTAATGACCATTTACTACACACATAAAGACTATCAGTRATCGCAAGAAACGAAATAATTGCCAAAACACAACTCCTTAAAAACGACACATTTGCAGGAACCTCTTTATGCACACAATTTTTTTATTTTCCGATCATTTTTTAATTTAATTTAAAACCATTGTTTACTTAACAATGTAAGCTTGTTGGTTCTTACTTATAAATTTCAGAGAGCTAAGAATTAGTTTCAAAAAAATCATACAAAGAAGTAAGAACTACATTTCAACAATTTACCTATTTACATTAGATTTTAGTGTATTATTTGAATAAACAAGTTGTTATAAGATTATTACCAATAGTTTCCACATGTTTAAAAATTATATAACATATTAAATAAATAGTGGTTGCAATAAACGTAATTGAATTTTTACTAAAAAAATATAATTTTCTTAAGTATATAATATGTACCTACAGCAAACTAGTCATAGATAAAATCAATAAATATTTAACTCAAGTTCAGTTTCAACAAACAACTATTCTGGAGAGGTTGAGATCGTACCATTTTGTTAACCTCTATTTACTATAAAATGTATTAAACTACACAAATTAATCACATGAAAAATAATCTTTAATATTATTTAAAAATGTATAAATAATTTATATATTATCATGATAAGTATTACTATATTAATAAATAGTTCATACGATTCACGCCCGAAATTAATTAACTAGTGGTTTAATTGCGCAATGAGTTAATTTTGGAACCTTTTGTGCTAACCTTACAAAACGTGATATAGAATTACCCTTTATAAAAGTAATGTTTTTCTAAAAAAATAAATCATAATTTTGACTGTGCCAACGTTGATTAACCAGTCAAGACATCTTATATTATATATAAAAATGAAATTATATATTTGAAATAATATATAGACGTTTCTTCGTAAAATGTGCTATACTTGACGATTGTAATATAAATATTCTGCAGCTGCCTCAGCAGTTCAATAGAACCACCTACCGAATGACTGAATGAGGGTGTAGAAAAATTCGTGGTAAATATATTACGGTGGTTGGTATCGCCGAAAACCAAAATAATAATAATAACAGCAAGTAAAACGTCGTAATAGTAAGAAAAAATATTGGGGACCCACAACCTGTTGGGTAAGTACGCATGCGCGCGTGACTGATGGAATGCGAACATGGTGTGGACGCATCAAGGTCGATTTAGGAATCCGTCTACAGTATTATTGTTGGACCCTTCGGCCCCCACCCAGTCATTACTGAATAATATCTACACCCTGTTTAAAATGTCACCGGCACGAATCGTGGTTTTTAAGGTTGTCACCGCAAACGAATGGATATGCGTGTGGACATGGGTCTGCCTTATCTCCATTCTGAGTGTCGAAAATATGTTCCCGGCGACGACGACGACGACGACAACGACGACGGTCGACGGCGCTCTCTGCGGCGCGCGCCGACCTGTCGACATAACCGCTGCCAAACACCACCAATTGCCGTGCTCCTATTTACTCGCCACCGCACACTACAACATTAGCAATCGCGCGCCATCCGTAGCACGTTTTTCGTTGTCTTGCTCCCGAAAGCGGTCTTTCTTATCCGCTCGCATTCATTAGTAGTGTTATCGTCATTGTTACTGTAATGTTTGACATTTATTCTTCGGACAACGACGAGCCACAGCTCAATATGTCGGCTTTCCTTAGCCGCGGTCGATATTGTGAGTATACGACATATTGTCAATAATAATATAATCATGTATAAGTAGTATAAATAGTATAATATTAAAGGTATATTATTTCTCATCGCCGAAGTCACATAAGTTAATTAATTATTGTTATAGGATTACTTATTGTGATCTATACCAGGTTGTTGATTAATTGTTACGATATATATATATATTTTGTTACGATATTGTTTACCACTCTCGTGATAGATATCTTCCTGCCAAATGCCATATCAGCTACGACGATTGCGTATACTAAACGTTTGTATGCCTAAAAAATTTTTTTTAGGTTAAATACGCATTTTAAGACCACCGCGGTCGACCGTGTTGTTATCACTGCATAATAGGTTTTGTATCATTTTTATTGATCCGGTATCGTGATTATTACAGATTTACGAAGTTCCATGTTTATTCCTTCACTTAGTTGGACATTAGTCGACTTAATCAGTGGCATTATCACTTGTGTACTTTATTATATTAATGCATTGGCTCAAATACACAAAATTTTCTGAGAGGATTCAGTCTCGTTGTTTTTTTTTTAAATTGTAATATAGCTCTTTAGAAGAAATTTGAGAGAAATGAATTAAGTATAAGAGTGACTTATAATAAGTCACTCTTGTTGTATCATTTGAGAGCTTGTTTAAATATTAAGACCAATTGCCTTCCCCATATACCTTAAGTTTTCCTATTCGCACATTTCGTTGTACCTATGTCCTATATTTACTATTTTTCGGGTATATAGAAACTTATTTAAGGGATTCGTGTTGTTTTTCAATGCAAATGTTAAGAATATTATTTTTTTAATTTCAATTTATCTTCAAACGATTGAGTTGGCCATTTTTGTTATTAGAACCGAATTTCTTCATGTGAATTTTAAATATTTAGGCATTTGTTTTGATGGGATTATATAGATATAATACATTTTCATAATATTTTACGAACTTGTGTCAACTTATGTACTATATAATAATGGATGATTTTTTAACAGTAAATACCTACTCATTATCTTTAAAAATAATTAAGGTTTTTCAAAGTATATTTTTTCATTTAATTACTACATTTTTTATCGCTATAATGCTTCTTTTTAAATGACTACATGCATTTTTTATTTCAAACCAGAAGCAGAATAATAAAATTCCGAGAATTTTGTTTGGTACATATATGATATAATCGATTTTGAACCTGCAGCAGTTAATTGGTTTTAAGTATTTAAGATTAATTTAAGTTAATATCCTGTTGGAGGATTCTTCGTCCTATGAAACATTTTTTCTTTCATAATATTTATCAGTGTAGTCCCTATTATTTTTCTTATAATTGTAACAGATTGTAACAAAAAATTGAAAAATGAGTGGAATACTGGCAAGCTCTATAAGTGACCCCAGTGGATGGTTTATTAAGCTCGTAACTTCAGCTACATTTTTTCTTCTCTCATCATCAAATAATATACACAATGTGCATACGCATACCTATTAATGTATTGATTGTATTATATAATGTTATTAAAATAAATAATAAAAAGATAAGCGTAGTTGTGTAAAAATATTTTGAAATTATAAGTATTACTACAAGTTTATAATCCATGAACTAATGGTTTAAAACTAAATTTTTAATTTAAAAATTTTTCGAAATACATTTACAATCAAAATTAATGTAAATACATTTACAATCAAATATATTTATTTAATTGTCAATTTCATATCTGCCAACAGCACATTTTTTTTAATTATCTATTTGTTTATATGAATGTTATATTAAAAAGATACAAATTAATTATTTCTTGGTACCATGCATAATTTTCATTTCCAACAAAAATTTAAAATAGTATATTCATTCATTTTCTGACTTCTAAAAGCATTTAGTATGAACATCAAATTAATATAATTCACTATAATTTTTGATGTTGCGGAATATACTAATCCATTTTTATAATTTAACTCAGGTCTATAAAAAAAAAATGTATCCTTATATACCATACTTTTTTATTAACTTTAATATTATAATATATATTTACAGATTCGAAAATAAATAAGGCAAAAATGAACGACATCGGTAAAATGAACGAATTTAGGTAAGTAAAAAATTATTTTATTTTTTGATTAATTTTGAAGGGCATTTTTATATAATACGGTACCTAGGTCATTCGKGTAATAAAAATTGCAAGACACTCAAACAGATACTAAAAAACTATCATGTTCTGTTTTACAAAAATACCTACTTACTTCTAAAGAAATTTAGGTTAAAAGGTGGTGTTTTTTTTTCTTACCTGGGGCGCAAAATTCTTAAACACGTTTCAGCAAAAACCCATGGTTTGAAGAGTATTTAATTTTTTTTCGGTATACAATTATTTTCTGTCGAAAGAAAAATAACAGTTTTCAAGCGAATATAGCAAGGATGCCTTGTTTATAATTCACATTGTGGCCAATTAAATAATACATTTAAAAATGGGTTATAAAATATAAGATTACCTAATGTATTTAAAAAGGTCATGTTTTATCATAAATTATTAATGCGTCCGGTATTATGAGATTTAAATAATAAGACTCTGGTTTCCCAAAGATCAGGCATTTGTGTCTGACGTGTAGTATCTATTGTGGTTTGAACACCAAGACAAGTGTCATTTTTGATTCTAAGCGAGGAATGACTTAGAATGATGTGATTTTCTGTCTGTTATACTTATTATATTTTGGGGCAGACAATTTTCTTGAATATTTAACATTGCTAGTGGATTCTTGTAGAAAATTTGATCTTGTTGATCATAAAATAAAAAAGAATAATTGTAGACATCTAATATACCAATATATATTTTGAATTTTCGGGCTATTTATTTTCAAAATTTTTTTCTTATGTAGATATAATTTTTGTTGTTGTTTCAAGAGTTTCAAAATTTAACACAATATTTCTCAAAGTTTATTTTTATATTCACAAGCATAAAAAGTGTATTTTCATTAATTGAAAACTTAATCCTCACCTACCATTGTTCAAAAAAATATATATTGTCTTATAATTGATTTAAATATCTACTTATGCATAATTATGAGTGATTATTGAATTTTTATCATACATAATATGTATCCATACCTACTGCATAGAATTAAGACGACATGATTTTTTATACATATGTAATGCTTTGCGATATAAATGGTCTAATCATAGATTAGTATTTCCAGCTATTATTAATTCAACATAGGTATGTGTTCATTTAGTCAATAGACAGTAGTCTTATTAATCATATACAGGTGATCAATATACATATCAAATAAAGAGTATTTTTAATAAATTATTAGAGGTATTTTGACTTTTATGGTCTGTTATTTATGGTGATCATTACACATTTTTTTTCAAAACAAATATAACTGCAGGTTATAAATTATAAGTCAAGCAAAAAAAAATTAATTATTAATAATTATTATTGTATATTTAATCAATTATTTTATTATTTTAGTTTATCTGAACAGTCAAGTAATTGGAATAATTTAAAAATCTCTATTGAAACTGCAGTACAAAAGTTAAACCCAGGAAATATAAGACTTACGAGTACAAAATTGTTTGAATTAAACATTATACGTGGTAAAGGCCTGTTGTGCCAGTCTATCATGAAAGCACAATCAGATTCACTCGAGTTTACACATATATATGCAACATTGGTTTCTTTCATCAACTGCAAAGTAAACAGTTTTATTTGTTTGTTAAAAAATAATGTCACCCACTAGTACTTACGAGTGTTCTTGTATACATTCAGTTTCCAAACGTAGCAGAACTGCTTCTGATAAGATGTGTTTACTTATTTACCAATGCTTACAAATGCAAAGAAGAGTATAAGTGTGTACCACCAGTTATATTTATTGCACATTTGGTGCATAACAATGTTGTAAGTTATGCTAATTAACATAATATTGGATTTGAATAATGTATATATTTTCTAATATAAAATTCTAATTTTTTATGTCCATTGTTCATCCAGGCCAAAGACTGCTTGGTATTAGACATACTGAAAATGTTAATAAAAACGCCAAATTTACATTCAATTGGCATGGTAGACAAAATTATGAAAATATGTGGTAAAAAATTGAATTCGAATCTACAGAATGAAAATGACTTAAAATATTTGTTTAATACGTTGCAAAACATTTCACAAGATGAACAGATTGGTAAATCGGTAAATAACTACTTTTATACCTATTTACTTATTAAATGAAAAATGAGATTTTAATCAGTTCAAATATTAATACATTTAGTTTATAGTTTATACCTTATAGTTTTCAATATTAATTTAAAAATATTGATTGTTTAACTATATTTGCATACTTATATTATTCATTTTTGAGACTTAATATTATTTTAATATAAAATTTATTTTATTATTACTTATTTATAATAAAATTTCAAAATATTTAACCGACATAATTATAATAGAAATAGACAATTATTGATAATAATTGTTTTAAGCTGAAAGCCATTTTTTGACTAGGTCCCCACATTTGATATACTAATTACCTATTGTAGTGTGATTGATTAAATGTAAAATTAACATTAGTAGTTAAAAATTATAATAACTATCTGTGTATTGCAGGGGTGGCTGGTGGCTCACATGAATACGTCTACGATCTGCATGGATAAATACAATGATATTAAAAGTTATAATTTTTATTAATGCATTTTATAATTTTCTTTATTTTATCTTTAATGAGTAAATATTGGTTTTTTTTTAAATAAGACGTGAGCCACAATTTAATCACCCTTGGTATATCGTTTAACTATAGGTATTAGTACCTTAATCTTATAGACCAAGTATAAAATTTTATTCAAAACATAATTTATTTCATCATCAGTGTACCTATGATTCTTATAAAATGGCCTTACAAACATGACTTGGTTAAAAAAATTACCAAGTATGGAATTATATTTGCTAAAATTATTATTTTTTAATTATAAAGTCATAATATACACATATATATATACCATACTTGTAGTACTTTAAATTATGAGAGAGTTTCATAATAACTATCAAATTTTTGAATTCAATTATTTTAAAATTATTAAACTTAATGAGTACCTACCCTAGATAGCTAACTATTATAAATTAAGAGAATTTTGAATCTGTACTTCTTTATTTGGAACCCTTATACACCCTGATCTGTAGTCTGTAAACATAGATTCTACTACTTATTGCTATTCAGCCATTTAAAATTATTTGATATGTGTAACCAGTAGGAATTTATAAAAAAAAAAACTAAGTGAAGTATGTGAGTTTATTTTAAATAGTATCTTACTTGTATTTTAGGTTCAATGTTTAGCACTAATTGTATTGTCAACATACCAAAATCATTTGGAAGACGAACAGCAGTTTGATTTAGTAGCGCCTCATAAACAGTATACTCATTCATTTACTTTAAATTGTAAATACAATCCACAGTATGAACTAGGTAAATTACATTAATATTTATTTATTATTCACATTATAATAACATTGTTTCACTATTTATTTTTCTTTAGATTCTTTTGTGTATGATCTGGACTTCAAATTGAATGAAATTATTTTTAAAAATAGTGCCAGGCAAATACTTAAAGAAAAACGTAAAGTTTACTATTTTGCAAATTATGATTTTGATGAAAATATGGCTGATGACGAAGATGATGGTGGTAAGAATTTAAATACCTAACTAATACGAGTAGTAGAGCCCTAAAATATATTAAACAAAAATATTCTTGTTTCTTTACATTTAAAATATTAATTTTAACAAAAATCATGTTTCAATCATATTATTAAAAATGTTATAGAAGACTCCATTTAAGTCCATCTAAAACTATTGAGAATTTAGCAGTGCAAGAATAGCAGTCAACTTAAAAAACAGTCATCAGTTATTAGAGAATGTTAGACAACTTCCTAAGTTTATTTAGATATTTTTTTGACACCAGAACATTTCATATTTTGCACTAGTATTTGTAAAAGTTAGGTAACTTAATAAATGTATAAAAAAATATTTTATTTATTGTTTAAAGTTTAGCATAAAATATTTGTTTCTAGTTTCAAGTTTGTAGTAGTCATATTGAATATGCTGTAGGTACGGGCTTGGTGCGATAGGTTTTTATGTATGTTATACATGAAAGGCTTGTGGGTTTTGGGATGTCCATGATGATCTCTAAAGTAAAATTAAACAAATGCATAATATTTAAAACATTTTAATAACATAACATTTGATATATCAATGTTTTAATGTAAAATTAATTTTTAAAAATCAATACAACTTTTAAATATGTACAATTATTTTAAATATTTAACTTAAATATAAAAATTGTTTTTGTACATTAATAAATAATGAAGTAATTGTTGTTTTAGATATTTTATATTTATCATTTTATACTTTTGTGCTAATGCAGTGAAGAAGCAATGTAAAACTTAAAATGTACTTACTTTCAGTTATAAAGTCTGAATGTTTTCAATACTATTTACAAACAAAATAGTTCTCTAATACTAAATTTAATATTTATTTTCCATCATTAATTTCAATTATTATTTTAATATTTTGTTCTTTTAATTTCATGTAACAAGAACTGAGTGTTGGCTGTAATATTTGATACACTGACAACTTTAATTCCTCATAAAGTTATAATCTCTATTATAGTATCTTTTCCTTACACCATAGCAGTGATTCCCAACGTGGGCGCTACCGCCCCCTTGTGGGCATTTTTTATTTTGAAGGGGGCGTTTTTATGAGGGGGGCGCTAAAGGGGGCGCTCATCTATCATTAAAGTTTTTTTTGTTTATAACTGATTGTAATGAAATGTATAACTGCGTAGGATAAAATACCTAATGTAATCCACATAATTATGTAGGTATAATATTTATAGACACTTAAATAATATCAAATTAACTATCTTGACAGGTACTTGATGTTAGGTTAGGTTTTAAATTTAAAATTAAAATTAACTTAATTGTAGCGTTAAAATGTTAAATGATATTTTGTCTTAAATTAAATAGCTTATTAAAAAATAAAACGTTTAWAATTTTAAAAAATTGTTGGGGGGGATTGGGGTGTGAGATTTTTATTTTAAATCTAAAAGGGGTGTTGAGTAAAAAAAGGTTGGGAAACACTGCACTATAGTATAAACATTATATCTACATAACATGAGTACATAATATATAATTAAATACCTATGTTTAATTATTATTTGTTAACACAGAGCCAGAAATGAACATCTTATCATTAAGTAATACTATAGCAATAAAAAAAGCTATTAGTATAATACTAAATTTGAATTTAACCCCCTTTGAGGTTGCTCTTGAATTATTGAAAATTCAATTGATAGATGGTCAAGAGGTGGACCTGTGCATTGAATATTTGGATTGCTGTTTTGAAAATTGTGGTGTATACAACAAGTTTTTTACCGACATAATTCAAGTAAAAATTCTATTAAAAATGTAATAATTCCCTTAAACTTTATACTAATATTTGTTGTTTTGTATCTATTAATATACTCACAGTTTAACCATACAGATACAGGGACAGATTGGTATATAAATTTGGCACGGGAAATCTATACTTATGTTGGCACTTTATAAAAAACATATTATACGCTCCAATTTAGTTACATGAATATATTTATTACTAATAAATGAATACATTAATTTTTTAACACGTTGGCTAATATTTTAACATTTTAGAAGAAGGTAGTGGTACTATAGCTGGTAGCTACTTTATTGATTATCATTATATTGTCATCACTCATTTATATCGGTATCATGTTATCTTACGGGATACTAATATTTGTAGTCAAACCACGATTTAGGGTTAGTATTATCTGTAGACTACAACAGTCGTGGATCAAACACTGTTCCCGTGTTTACAAGTTACAATTGATAAAATCCAGTATTAATAAACTACAGTCTACACACGTTGAATCCAGTGAAAAAAAGTGCATAGTCAAAAAAAAAAAAAAAATCATATACCCAAGACTTTTGCATCATAAATATATGAGATAATGAATAAATGTTAAGTACATTTTCAAACACATTTATTCTATCTCAATTATTTGTTTATTCTGCTAGAAGTTATTTCGATAAATAAACATGTTCGTTTGTAACTATACTATTTAATAAACTTCCATTAGGTATAAATGTTATTTGATTTGTTTTGTAAAAAGGTCTTAATTATTAATTTATAAATACAACACATCTTTGCAAAGTAATCAAATTATTGAGATACAATAAATTTAATTTAGTTAGWATTTATTTATGATATCACAACTTTATGATGCATAAGTCTTATAAACGACTAGATTTTTTTCGACTTTGCACTTTTTTACATGGAGATCGACGAAGTGTTTTTTTGTGGATATTAGTAATTTTTTTATGAAATATTTTATGTACCGACTTATAATATAATTTACAGGTTTTTATGTTTTAATTAATTAATCATATTATTATTATATTTGTTCATTTTATATATTGGATTTTTTTAAATTTTTTATAATCATATCCAATTATTTTTTGTATTATTATAAATATAATATTCACATCTTTAACCCTTTGAGACCATCGTTCAAAATTTTATCTATTTAACAATAATTAACGATTTATAACAAATTGTATTTTATATTACGGTATGGCGGTGAAATAGTAATATATACATCAACAATGATAATCGCCCGAACTAATACGACAAGWTAGGGTGCAGGTAGGGAACCGCTGCCCAGTAAACAACGTTTATGTATATAGAGGGGGTAATACGGTCTCTGGTGCTGCTACGTGAAACGTTATTACTAAAATGGTCGAACACGATATCTTTTTGCTTAAAAATACACATTTTTGCTAATATATTTGGAGTTTTTCAACAATTTTTTTTTTTTTAATGACAGTGGTAAAATCTGCACATCATGCCCGATCTCCCGATCTATTGATACCACCAACGGACTAATCTGTCCATTCATTAGCTCTGTAGTCCTGGATAAAGAAAACGGGAAAATTTAACATACATTTAATGGGCAAACTCTGGTTCGTGTAATATACTACGGTCCTGACCGATTCGTTTTTTTAAAACTTAGTTTTGCGCCACTACCATAGGCGCAATTTGGGGGGGGGGGGCTTGGACCCTCCAATATTAAAATTAGCCCCTTCAAAAATTTATATTTAAATTGAAGTATTGAATCCTTGATTAATTATCTAATATACATAATGCAGTAACCGTCGTTTCAAAAAAAATTTTTCTAAAGTTTAAATCTGGAAACATGAAACAAGCCAATGCAACAACATGATGTTAGACCTTAGTTACCCGCCGTATTACGAGAACAATAAAATTACTGTCTAGTGTCTTATTAGTGTATATATAAACTGTTATCATTATCTTTAACAATTCCAATTAGCTCTGCAACATGTGAAAGATCATTCTCAGCAATGAGAAAGATTAAAAATTGGCTTCRAACATCTWTGAATYGAGATAGATTTACAAATTTGTCATTAATTTATATAGAACGAGATTTATCAAATGAATTGTCCAACGAAAAAATATTAGATACGTTTGCAATTTCTAACCGAAGGTTCCAATTATAATAATATACTTAATAAATAAATATATATTACATCTATTTACCTAAATGTTGTTATTTTTTCATACAAATATTTTCCGCTTTATTAATAGATGCATTATAATTTATAATATATTAAATGTGGGAAAGTGGGTGAGAAAAAAATGAAATTGCCATAGAGTCCCCCCACGGGTCTGTTTCATTTAAATATGTTTAGCCCCTCCAAGTCAAAAACTGAAATTGCGCCTATGGCCACTACCGTCKCGCTGAATAGGTCTTTAAATCTGTTGAGTATTCTAAAACAATAGTAACACTACAGGAGAACCGGCCCAATCCGTGCCTGTAATCAGTGATTATATCAACTATTAAAAATAAAATGTATTGGAAAATATTTAAATAAAGATGTATATTATTATCTACATTTTATATTTAATTTTAAACTAATAGTTTTCCGCTATAAATACCATTCATTGAAGACATGAGTATTATTATTTTAATAAGAAGTTATAAATATTGTAACTTAGTCGCAATGTTTATTACACGTCATGTTTATTTTGAATGATTTAGCCATATTGTGTGTATATTGAATGACATTGACAAATAACAATGTATAGACTATAGAGWACCTACTTTGGAATACCATTGTCATGTTTTTTCTAATTTTTTTCAGAGTTTTTGTCTAGTGAACCCTTTAATAGCTGGTGCTCTAGAATTCATTTTCATGAAGCGTGTGTCCGCTATTCATCTTGCAAAACCGAACAGTTTAAAAAGCCTCGCTAAATTTTTTGCGCAACTTTTATCATCAGATATAATTTCTTGGCAAATATTTTCAGCTGTTCGCTTGATTGAAATCGAAAAAACAAATTGTGGTACAGTTTTTTTAAAAACGATGTTCGATGAATTGATTTTACTTATGGGAAACGATGATTTAAAAAAACGTATTCTACATCCGTGAGTATTTAATTTTTACATACGTAATTGAGTTCCATATAGTTTATAAATATTAAACTTATATTTTAGTTCCTTACAAAGCTCATTTATTGGATTGTTTCCGTTAAATAACCGCGGTAATACACTACTTTGCTTTAATTTTTTCGCGGGTATTGGTTTGTATGACGTAATGTGAGTGTTAATCTTTAAAACCATATTAATAATTTATTAATAATATCTTTATTTTAGTTTTAAATTCAGAGAATCTTTATCAAAAGGCGTAGCCGTTTAACTATTCTTTACGACTGAAAACTTTTTCCTATTGATTGCAGTGAGAGCAATCTTAACAACGCTATTCATTAAGTACATAATTAAATATTGTATTCTAATTTAAAAATATCTTATGAGTTATTATGAAACGTTATCTATAATATTTTTACAATATATTCAATCTAAATATTTTAACAATATTTATTAAAAGTTTTTTTTTATAATTTTTGTATCGATTATTTCAATTAAATTTAAGGAAGTTGTGAATAGGATGCATTTGTTATTTTTATGGCTATCAAAGTAATTGTCATTACGACAAGAGTTATGCCACCTAAATAAAAAACGCATCCAATATTGGTTATAACCTATAACTTATAATGATTTAAGAATTAGCGCATATAATTATCTAATGTTAGGATAAATTTAATGTTCTATTAATTAAAAAAAATTTAAAATACATCTTATTGTGCATATTTTATACATTATACATAAACTGATTTTTTATTTTTATTTTTATTTTTTCAATCAATAAACAGTTTACTACAAACTACAAACTGGTTTAGATTATAATATCCGATATCAAACGAATAAGTATTAAGTAAGTACTCSATTATTTTCAGCTTGGCTAATGTTAATGGGACCATAAGTGTGCGCATAAGATAGTCAGAGTAAGCACTTGACTAATCTTCGAAGTTTCTAACTCTCTCAATATTCAAAATCATCATAAAATCTAAGCAATAATCTAAGTAGGTATACGTTTGGAATAAATTAACAAATAAATATTTACAACTTAGTGGCGAATTAGAATATATCAATAAATATATTATATAACGTATGTGTGGTTTGACTACCCTACCGGCAATGTCTAGGAATGCTTACGAATGGGACTACCATGACATAATATCACGTAATATTATTTTGARGATTTAGGGACTGCAGTATTGCCAAATAAGGGAAATATTGGCTATTTTTGGTACAGGGTACAAAATAATTTGGGGCCTTTATATTTTTTTTTATAATATAACTAAAATTAGTTATTATATAAACGTCATAATAATTGATACATATTAGTAGGTACAATATTTAGAACTGGTTTTATTGTATACCTTTAAATAAGTTTATCTATATCAAAAAAATGATTTTATGCAGAGTAGCGTATTGGAATAATAAGTGTTGTAAGTTGTAAAATGTTATAAGTTCTTGCAAATTTTTTGTGTATATAGTTGCTGGTGACACTTTATTAGGCCTCCCTTATCCCGCCAGAGAATAGGAGTGGCATCATAACTTAATCTAGTGTGTTCAAAACTATAAATATGTCTGACGGTATYAAGTACTCTTAATATAATTTTTAACTCAAAAAAGACATACTGTTTATTGTTATCATAGTGTATTTTAGTCAAATCTCCTCAAATTTAATGTTTAAGCAAGTTTCCACTTTTTCGTTAATTTAGAGTTGAAAGTTTGCAAGCTATCAGTGGGTGATACAAATATAATATATTCATAGAATTAAAACTATTATAATAATAGATCTCTCATTGGTATTAAATGTGAATATTATGAACTAATAGTAGCGTTACTCACTGTGACAATGTAGCTCTTTACACGACGTTACACTGCAAAGTTAGCTAGTGCGCAGTCGCCTATCGATTGGATTACTCTCGGTCCTTAGACGCCCTGCACGATACCAAAAACTCCAAGTTAAATACAGCTGCCACTGCTATCCTCATCTGTTGTCATCACCAAACCAACAACTACGTTCAAAAAGGTAACATTTAATTTTAGTTTTACACTTTTATATATTATATATATATAGTAATATAATATAATAGCCTAATAGGTAATAATATTACACCATAATAATACACTAGATATACAATAAACTTGTGCCAGTTTCGTGATTCAATCATCTGTGTACAAACACGATTTCAACTCATGCACAAGCTAAAAAATAACTGTTAATAATTATTATGATAATGACGATAGAGGTTACATGCATGTTTAAAAAACTTTGAAATTTGTCACTTGTTGAACTATGTTTATGCCGTAGTGATTTTATCTGACATGTATTTTACAACAAAACAATAAAATTGATCGCAATAAAAGTTTATCTAAATATTATTTTGTCGTAACTTATAACAGTTACCATTTTCTTATAGTAGCTATTCAATATCATTATAACATGAATAATTAATAATAGCAATAATTTTTATTTATTTAAAATATAATATATTTTATATATCTATTATATAATATGTGTATGTGCATAAAATATATCTACTCCTTTAAGTCTTTGTTTGTGATGTAAAGGATTAGAGAGTCAAATAAAACAAAAGAAAACAGTTTTATTTTTAAATTCAATATTATTAGGTATAGACATGATTAACAGAATAAAGAAAAAAAGTATAACAGAAAAGACAACAAATAACATCGAGGTTATTATCATTTATTCAACTTAAACATAGATTATTTTAATTTSTAGGTATTTAAAACAAGTAAGATTTATTAGTAAACTAATCACAATTAATGTAAATAAAAATATATTGTGAATAATTATATTGATTATAATAAATATAGTAATAATAAAAACCCAAGCCTACCAATATACAATAATATATATAACATAATATCTATAATTTAAGCTTAAATGTTCAACTTGCAATGTTAAAAAATAAACACAATGTCACGAATAATATCTTCTATAAGTATACTGTTGTTTCTATAGTTGATAGTTAAAATTATTATTATTAGTATTATTATATAGTAATAATTATTATTTAATGCTTTTGTAATTTTGATTTTAACGACTAGGGGTTAAAAACTAAAAGCGAATAAAGTGCTAAAAAAGTAGTCCATATTGTTACAATTTGTAATATGGTTACGCCGATGAACAACGACCGTAAATTATTATTATTGAAAGATAGTTTTTAAGGAATGACATCTTGAAACCTAATCTAACATCTAGGTGAATAAGCTGGTTTGAAAATGACCTCACGCAGCCGCGATGACGCATGTACACTTTCATCCGATCTCAGGCCGCGGATCAATATACTTCACCCAGCCCCGTCGTAAAATTC